GTTCCAATATTCAAGTATAACACTTTTTCTAAAAGGAAATCTGACTGGGGTGGTAATTTAGAAAAGACATTTTTTGCTTTTTTGAGGAGTTTCATAATAAATGGGAAAAACCAGAAAAAACGTAGGCAAAACGGGAAAATTTATGAAATTCCGTACTTTTTTTAAATCGTAAATAATACGGCATTTCAAAACATGTGTAATCGAACTCCGCTCAGAATCGTTTTTCATTAGCAATGATCGTTGCAATATACCTTGTTGCGTACAGATTAAATTTCCCGTTTTGTTGAATATCGTAAAAATCATAGCATTTTACGTAGGTACTATATTGAGATTTTTGTTGATTACACTTTTTTGCTATATAAAAATGCCAACAAATTCTCGACGAAAAACCATGAAAAATTGTAATTTATTTAATACTCACAACTTATTACAAAATTATTTATTGTTGTGTATATATATATATATATGCCTATAATAGTGATCTACCCGTGATCATTACATAAACCCGTAGGTCCTTATCTTATGTGAGGAGCGTAGTGACAACTGACAATGAATCAAACAACCGTAATGCAATTTTTTTTTTTGTATGTAGTTAGTACAAAATGTATAACTACCTATAATTTTATTTATAAAAACAAATCATCAAACATTATTTAATTATCTACTATATAAAATGTATGTATGTAGTGTAAACTTCTTTAGGTATGCATTTGTCCTTGTCTGTGTCTGTCCAAATGCTTTGTATCTCATACCGTTGCGGATTTTGAAATGCGGTTATTTTAAGCGATTAGGTACCTTTAAGTTAGGCTCTAAACTCTACAGAATGGCTATCATAAGACTTTTGCCAAAACCGCACCAAATCAAGGGCACACAATCAGAATAAATAATCTGTTTACAATAATAATAATAATAATAATAATAATAACCCCTAACCTGTCTGGAGAAATCGAAATCATTCTCAATGAATTAAAAGTTATACGATTAATACTTAGTGCAACGTATAAAAATGCTTGATAATAAAATATAGTGAATTTAAACATATTATTATAACACAGGGTCTAAAATTATGGGAAATAACACACACAGTAGCAAATACGGAATGTGCGGTTAATGTTATAGTGTACAATTTATTGTGAATAGTGTAAAATTTTAATATATTTAAAAAAAAAAAAGTATATTATATTGATAACATGTTTTTAGATTCTAAGTGTAGCGAAAAATGTATTGGTGTTACAAAAATATTTATTTTTTTTTCTTCTCCTTTTTTTAACTGTGTACAAAAATTCTACCAGAAATTTTGCTCTGATGCATACGATGTAGAATTTTTTCTGAAAGGAGATTTTCTTGGGGTAGTTTTTTAATGAATTTTCGATTTTCTTAGAAGTTTTCTCATTAAATGTTAATTTTGGGAGAAAGTTTCGATCTTCCTAAGAGTTTTCACAGCAATTGTGAAAAATCGGAAAAACTTAGGAAAAATAGGAGAATTTTTACATTAAACAAATATTATTGAAGAAAATATGTAATATTTTAACTATTTGACAATAATATAACTTATACATTGTTGACAAAACATCAATATTATCTGAACATAGCAAAGAATTTTCTTTTCTATAGCAATGTTTTATCGTTATTTATAGATGTTTATGTTTATTGTTCAATGGTGATCCATTTAAGTGGGTATACTCATTATCTCGAAAAGTAGTAACTTATCTCAGGATTTGTTTTCTACATTCAAGAATATTTAAGAAACAAGCAGCTCTCCAATTATATATTTTTTATCATCATTATTTTTGGAAGTATAACCACTACCTACTTTTTATTTTAAAATGGCAAACTATATTAAAAATCCATTAATGGAGTATTAGTTAAAATAAATTATGGTTTTGACATTTTTGATTTCCGTAAAGCCGTTGATGAGATATTTCACTGTTAAGTTTGGGTTGGAGGAGAATAGTGGTGCATTATTAATATATGATAATGAGTGTACCCACATAAATGGATCACCTGGTATACTAAATTAACAATCAATTGGTTGAACTTTGGAAAATATTATCTATTCGTTTTAAATNAAATTGTTTCACTCGAAACACTTAGAATCGAAGAAATAAGAAATATTTCAAAATTAAAATTTCGTGAAATGTTCAATATTTAAACACTGACGACACGATACAGTGCAATAGTCTTTATTTGGAAAACTTCAAAAATAAAAACATCATGCAATTGATTAAATATAAAACGTTTACATTTTTTACATAATAATAAACGAATATTGAATTACAATGTGTTGACTTTTTCAGGTTATATATATAGAATTAACCTAATATAGCCATTATTAAAATCAGATACTCGGAAATCGTCTCGGCATTTCGAAACACTGCAGTGTGTAATACGAGTAGACACTAGAGCGAGCGATCAGTAGTCGTTTCTCGAAACCTTTCGACTAAACTCAGAAGGCTTGAATCAAATTCTCTCGTGTATTCACTTTTCAAAACTGTCTGGTATATATATCAGATTCGAATCTATAATAAATATTGTTTTCTTAACAGTGTCCTACAAAGTTAATAGAACTATAATATTTATTATATAAAAATGGGATCGGACCGAATTAAATATTTAAGACAATTTTTTTACCGGATTAATAGACTAATTCCTAAAATATATTTTTCAACCCGGACACAATTAAACTAAGCAGACAAATGTTTTAAAAGCCCGGATCAATATTATTAACACGTCACACGCCGTTCCACCACACAAATGATACTTCACTACTGTTTTTCAACCGAAATTTAAAAGTGGAATATCTCGTTAACTGATTGACAGAAATCAAAATTTCAATATTGAATTTTTTTTTTTTAACTAATACTTCATCTATTCATGAATATTTTAATATTGGTTGTTATTTGAATATCAAAAGTAGGAAGTGATTTTACTCTCAAAAATAAGGATGACAAAAAATAATATAAGCATAAAATTGTAGAGCTGCTTGGTTCTTAAATGTCCTTGAAAACAAATTCCGGAAAATGTCAATACTTTCCCAAATAATGAGTGTACCCATTTAAATAAATCTTTAAGTTTTTTGCTATATCCTACCTTGCCAACTTTCCTCCTACAACAGTGGCTGCACCCGTCCTCATTATTTATAGGACAGAATTTTTTTATTATTATTTTAAACATTTTATATTTAGCATTGGCTGTTGTTTGTTCGTAAGATGATCTAGAAGCGCTGTCCCGTACCACGATAGGCGTACTGATGTCATTCGATGACACTTATCATTCGAATACACCCATTGCGAACATGCAAGAAACGACATACGAACATGGAATAATCGCAGTGGTGGGAATTTGTCAATGGTGGAAAAAGGACGGAAATATTATTCAACCATGAATTCTGGGATAACCGTAATGCTCCTCATCTTTAAAATAGTTCACCGTTTACCGTCTGCGGCCATAATCTTATAAAAAAAGTAATTAATTTGGGCCTAAAGTGTTATTATAAAATGTTTTTTATATTTATATGTCAAGTGGTGTTATGAACATTGTTGATGTACTTGATATTTTAAGATTATGTTTATCTACCGAATATCTTTGTCCGAATTTCAAATATAGCTTTATTCTGAAACATAATTTTGTCTAGTTATTTGTGAGAAAGCCGTTTGATTTTCCGTATTTTTTTCCTAATATATGAAAAACCGTGAAATTACGTAAGAAACACGGCAAAATGTATGGAATTTGGTTATGTTATTTGTTGTTATTTGGTTAAACATTATTGTAGATACTTGTGGTTTTCATACCTAATATTTGCCTTTATTAGAGGTAGTAACATTTGTAAAACATTCTTACTAATTTTACATTATTTATTTGATATTTGCGTGTTTTTATATGTATTTTTATTTAAAAAAATGCTTGAAAATTTAACAAAATGCATAGCATAAGTTGCACTTAGTGGTCTAAAAAACGAATTTTTAGTTAAAGTTTAATGCATTAGTTTTTTTTTCATAAGCGTGTTTTAAAATGAAATTGTGTCGAATATCGTATAACGGTATTTCAAAATATATCTTCCCGAATTTCGCTCCCAATCTTTTTTCGTTAGGAATGATTTATCGTTGCGTGCAGATATAAACTAAATAATTCAATGTATCCCACCTTCCAAATTTTCCACCTAAAACAGTGGCTGCACGTTTTAGCTTGTTACTTTTAACTTACATATTTTGTAATGCGTTCGTTGAATATTTTGTTTTCAGTTTTTGTAATTATAAAGTTTATTAATAGCATATATAAACGTATTAAATGTTTGTACATATTCACAATTTATTATTTTTTTTGCCAATAGTTTTTGTCATCCAACATTTTTAATAACGGTCTTAATTTTAGCCACCACAAATCTTCTATAAATCTGTTAATTGGTAAAATTTATTTAAGAAACGACATCTCCAATTAGATGGATATATAGATAGGCAGTGGCGTAACTAGGTGAAGGGTTGAGGCTTGTCATCCTTCTGTTATATGGTTGTGAGTTTTTACGAATTTCAATTATTACATAATTGTATGGTTTACATACCAATTTGAAACATAATGTTGTGACATAGTGTATAAATAAGTGATAGCTACGATGCATTTTCGGTTATAGCTACAAGTATAATAATAATAATAATAATAATAATAATAATAATTATAAAATAATATTATTATGTTATTAATTGAATGGTCTATGGTAATAACTTATTACAAACATGTTCAGACGTTTGGTTTTATTTAAATCAATAGACATATCAGAATGACTAGATAACCAGAATCAATTATTTAAGAAACACTATAGGACAGCAGAAACTTAATGGAATGGCCACTTTAAACATATATAATATAGACATTGAAGTTAAACAAGATTCAGTGCTTGATGAAAAGCGAGGCGCTCTACTCGAAGAACTAATCTTAGACTGTAAATTATCATTATCATCATTATCATACTATAACATGTGATTAAAGTACATTAAAATACAAAATTAATATGAATCTAAATTTGTTTCCATTATGTGCTGTCTATGAATGAAAGTTAGACAATTTAAAGATTTTACTCACCACCTAACTTAATCTTACACCCCGCCAAACACCATCAGAAGTTTAATTTTTTCAAATTTATAAATCTCCCCCCGAAAATAAATCCTGGTTGCGCCACTGTTGATAGATACGTACGTTTCATTTTCAAGTGGTTTGAGATCTTCTAGGTTTGTGAATTTGTAATCATTTTTAATTAAACCCAAAAGTACAGCTGAACTTGGTGATTTCACCATACTTGGACATTGATTCTGAATATTTTGTATCCATTCTACTGCCATTTGTCCTTCTTTTAAAGCAAACGATCTATCAAATGGACTAGGAACTCCTCCAGTTGCAATACTACCTATGTTCGTAATATTATACAAATTACTTCAATCAAATAATATATTTAAATAGTTAAATAGTTATCTATTAATTATTATTATTATTTATAAATCTTTTTATAGTTTTAATAATTACTTTAGTTTTAATGTAGGTAAAATTTTTTTTTAAAATGATATAACTTAATTAGGTACTATTTTATAAATACGAGTACATACCTAAAATAGATGCTCTTGTAGTAAATAAATCTTTACCTTCTTCAGTAAATAATTTTTTTATAAAACCAGTTGTATAATTTTCATTTGCTTTTTCAGATCTAGAAATACAAAATAAACTTAATTGTTTAGTTTCTAAATTTGTTAAAAATGTACATTGCAAATTTGATTGTTGTCTATACAGAATGTTTTCATTTTAAACTATAATTTATACATTATTTAATCAAAAATTAAAAATGTGTATAATATAAAATACTTGTATAATTTTAATTGGTAGCACAAAAAATAAATATATTATAAATAAATTATTCAAATATTTTGACCTTAATACAAGTCCTCTGGTAATTTGTTTAGTCTCAAATTTTTCAGCCATTCTATAGAGACATTCCATTAAATCGATGAAATTAAACTCTTCCTCGTGAATATACGATGCATCTGCACCGCACGCCAAAGCTTTCAATTTTAATAAATAATGTAAAACAATTAAATTTTATTTTTTCTTAAAATAGTATTACTCATAGAATATTAGTTATTAGTGCTCTATAGCCTGAATACGAGTAAATATTATAATAATCCTTAATAATAAATTAGTCACTAAATTACCTGTCATAGATGTTAAATATCCACAGAGGCCACCTAATATTTCAACTACAAATACTCGTGGACGATGACCTTCCGCTGATTGTCTTATAATATCGCATAGCTATAAGAAAAAAAAAATTAAATATAATTTTTTTCAATTTTTATAAATCATTTTATTTCTTGTCTCTATGTAATTAAATGAAATTAAACATAAAGCGATCATTTCTTTTTTTTTATCAACGAAAATATAATAATATACGAAGGGCTAACGGGAAAATTAGAATAGTTTTAGGTTCATTTTTTCAATTTTGAGATAACATACTACAATTCGATGGCGCTATTTGAAATAATTATTATTGATTGTTGAGTACTATTCAGTGAAACAAAAAGCTTAAATTGGATAATATTAAAAATAAACTATTGGATGTATTGTTTCAACAATGATGTACCTAGTTTATGCAGTTGTAGATGAGTTTGGTTCAGCTGAACAATTTTCAAAAATGGATTACTACCTACTTATATTATCTTGCGGCAGCTGCGTTACCCCAGTACCATCAATGTAAATATTGAGGCTCCTTGAGGCCTGTGCCTTTCGTATATTACCTACTATTACCGATGTATCTAGGTATAATAGAATATAAATAGGTACACAACTTTAATTTAATTTTCCATCAGAACTTAGTTGAAATTAACAGTTTTAAATAGAAGTTTCATTTTATGTTCAAATATAAATTTAGAAATTTAAACATAAAACTGAAATGAAACTACTGCAATTTTAACGATTAGTATTAGTATTAGTCTAGTTTTTAGCATGAAAAATAATTATTAATCGTTACCTTTACTACTTGATTAAGAGCCGTATCTGCTCCTAATGAAAAATCTGTTCCTGGAACGTTGTTACTATACGTTACCGGAACCACAATAATCGGTATACAAAATTCTTCATATTTTTTCCGAAAATCATTCATTATTATGCCGGTCTTCAGGGCCTGTTTATATGATTAGCACTCATTGTCATATAAAAATTAAACCGTAAGAGTTTAATGCTCGATTTAGACAAATGTCTACTATTAATATGTAAGAATTACTTCTAATCCTCCAGATATTACGCATGCATTGATATTTAAGTTTTTCATTTGCTGGGCCATTTGCTCTAACATTTGTGTATCCGGAATTGTTCTTGTTATACCCAATTTGACACCTCCTTTATTTAGCCAACCAATAACATTGGCCCAGAAGAGTTCAATTACCTATATTCCGAAAAAAAAATGTTTGTACAGATATTTGTAAATAACTCTAAGTAATTTTAGTACTTAGTGTATTGCCTTTTTTAAAAAAATAATTAGTCACTAAAATTTTACTTCGCCTTGTATAAATCCTTCAATTCCAAATTTTGCGGCAAGAACCCGATTGTTAGATGCTATGGTTGCCCTGACAATGGAATATGTCAATGCGTTAATACCATTACTTGAACCTCCGATATTCAATATTAAAGTTATTTTACCCTATAATATACGATGATTTTTAGTACAACTTAATGTACATACGTATAACAAACATAAATACAAACGTCTATATTTGAAATAATCTCTTTGTTCATCATGTGTTTGTATGTTTCTAGATTTTGCAAGAAATTACTGAAAATGGATAAAGTTAAATGAAATAGATTAAGTTATTTATTTGAAGTGGTTATTTATTGTATAGTTGATTTTTTTTTAATCATGAATCTGTAATTTTAAGTGAATTTGATTTCTGTTTTTTTTTTTTTTTCTTTAATCATTGTGAAATCAGTTAAGCTTTATTTTAAAACGGTGTTTAATATTTCATCCCTATTCCATACACCTAAAATAAGTATAAATTTTTATTTTTCAAATATAAACTCACCTTTCTAAACACAGATTCAAATAGAGAATATAGTTTTAAACATTTTAATATACACAATATTAATATCAAATTCACTTTTATGAGTTATAAGTTTACAATCGTTAATATTTAGACCGGAAGAGAATGGAAGGGTAATAAATTACATAATTTTTTTAGATTCTGAGCAGAGCAAAGAAGTTTATAGTTTTACAATAGGGTGTTTATATTTTTTTTATTTGTGAACAATTTTTCTACTAGTAGAAGAAGAACTATTCTAATTTAGAATCGTTTTTTCGTTAGCAACGGTTTATCATTGCTTACAGGTATACATTAAGTTACCCATAACAGTGGCTGTACCTGTTCCCATTATCCTAGGACAGCTTTTTAAATGATTAATTGATAACTCTTCCCTGCTCTTCCGGGGTTTAAACGTTAAACGATCATAACTCATAAACGGTAAATCTGATATTAGTGTTATGCACATACAAATGTCTAGAAAATATTCTCTATTCCAATCAGTATTCAAAAGGTGCGTTAAAATTTTAAAACCAAAATTATATACTTATGTGATAGTGGTGTATATGGAGGTCACTTTTCTTCATACAGTAGATGTACAGAATTATTTGAATGGTTCGGAAATTATCTAGACTATGGCAGCATGTATGGAAGCCACTTGTAAAACTACTACAAATAGGCAGAAATATTTTTTTCAGGATAGCATTTATTAAGCATGCTTTTATCATTTTACTACTTATTTTTAACATTTTTGTTCAATGAACATTAGAAGAACATCAAAATCTAGTCATGTAGATGGTGGTGGCTAAAATAGATGCCACTAAACTATAAAGTGCTATAAATACAAACTATAAAGATTATTTTTTGGATTAAGAACTATTATTTAATTTTGCCATGCTATATGTACATGTAGAAGTATCAATAATATATAACCAAATTTAATATTATTATAATTTAATACTTGAAGAATACCCAACTCATCACAAAAATATACAACACAAGTCAATGTATATAATAATAATAATATGTGTAATATATTATAATCGTAATAATTAAATTTGTATGAATTAACATAAAAATAATTTAAAATTGTATATTATAATACTTCAGTATTATAAAAATACATTGTATGTCCTACAACCCACAACTTCTTAATAACTTATTTATACACCTCATATAATCACAGTAAACTATAATGTATTATAATAATATTATGTATGTACGTACGGGCCTCGGAGTTTCAATGCTCTATCGAAATCTTTTTTACTAATTGCTTCTGCAACTTCAGACGTATTTTTAACGCATTCCACTAACGACGAAGTAACAATTACATTAGCCTTTAAACACACGACTTTTGGTTCGGATTCGTGTGTGGCTTCTAACAACGATAACACAGCATGAGCACCCATGCGTGAAGCCTAATATAATAGTATCGATAGTATACCATTAGATTATATTACCCGCAAGCAGTAATGCTCTGTTTACTAGAGTCGAATTTTCCCCACTTATTTTATTAAATTTAAGTTGAAACCCCTAGAGGCCTATAGAAGGTACATCCTTGATATAAATTCTATGCATGTACAAAATGGCATTTTTCTGCTTTCATTTGGGGAGTCTGTAGAGGTGTATGAAGCTAAAAAATACTCTTCATCCACATCAATACGGTTAAATTTATATTCACTCAAATTTAATCCCACATTTATGACTTCAATTTGCCAACAAAACGACTCCAGAATTTGAGTTCATAAGTCATTTGGTCCAGAGGGAGTCACTAGAAATTTTCAAAAGTACCGGGAAAAATAAATATTATAACAGTTCAATAGTCTCCATTTTCAGGGAAAATTCGACAAAAACTCATAAAAGAGTTGATCTATAATATTCGATTTACCAAAACTCTGTCAAAAGCCGAAGGAGAACCACCTCTCTGCACGTGCCCTAGAACCGTGATTCTAGCATCCTGTTGTAATTGGTCCACTAAAACTTTTTTAACCATTTCCGATGAAATAACTTCACCGTTGTCGCTGACCGCCCCTTCAGAAACAATTATTATATTAAGCCGTTTACCATATTTTCTTGCCTGAAAAATATATGATACATTATAATATTATAACACCATCTAACCAAAATGGCTTAATATATTATACACACCGTGAGTGTGTTTAACGTAAAAACCTCGTATCGATAATCTGTTAATCTCGAAAAGAGTTTAAATAACTGATAAATGTTATGATTACAAAATATCTTTGAGTGTGGCAATGTTCATAATTTCAGGAATGTCATTTAAATTGCCTATACTATACTCCTTATGATTGTTTGGTAGGTTATATTGATTTCTTATGAATAAATTCAAATGTTTTCATTATTGTTGCTTTCCATTATTAATACAGTCGATTATATATCCGTTAGAAAAATATTACGGAAAAATGATAATTTTTTGTTTATATAATATAACTATTATCTACGTTATTGGGGACAGATTGTTAACATTTTAACGTTATTTTTTGAAATATAGTTTTGTATTTTAGGTGGCCTATTTTGAAATTAAACGGAAACCGTTTTAAACCGAGAATATAATCAATTTTCGAAAATTTTAATTATTTTTAATTTAAAATACGGTCTTTGATTAAACAGGATCATCAAATAATATTTTATACAAATGACAGTTACGTACCCTCAATACATTTTCACATAATTGTTCTGGCCAATTCGATTTCTGTGGCCATTCTCTGATAAACAAGTAATCAGCTTCGCACATTAAGGCACTTTTTATAGCTAAATATCTAGAAAATAAATATAAAATAACATAAATTATAAGACAATTAATTATTATTGATTTAATATAAACATGGTTTTGCATTTTGTGTACATAAATCGTACATACTATATTAAGTGTTTATTTAAAAAATGTTTACCCGCAATTTCGGCCCATTATTTCCATTATAAAGGTTCTTTGGTGAGAAGACGCTGTGCTTACAATCGAATCGATTGCTTCGAGTATACGGTGTAGAGCTGAGTCTGCTCCAACTGTCATGTCTGTGCCACTGAAATCATTATCGATTGATCCCACAATACCAACCAAGTTTAAATGATTCACTGTTTTTATATTCGCTTGGTTTATTTCCCCTAAGAGATGCATAGATTTTACTATACTATTTTAATTCCGGAATTACAAGAAAAATAGGTAGATATAGTAAACACTATTATGTACCTTTTTTCAAGAGTTCATCAATATAGCTTTGCCATTCCTCGCGAAAAAGGTTAGCTCCCGTTAGAGACCCGTCACCACCAATGACCACCAAGTTTGAGATACCAAGTGTTACCATATTTTTGGTCGCTTTCAGTCTTCCTTCTCTAGTCATGAACTCCATACATCTCTTGGTTCCAATGATTGTCCCGCCCTATGCTCAAATGATTTTGTAATGCATTTTATTTATCTAATTATATACTTAACTGTAAAATTAGTTTATAGAAAGAATATAATTTACCACACTTAGAATGGAAGATACATCATGCCAATTAGCTTTAACTATATAATTTTCACCTACGATAAGTCCATAGTATCCTTCTTTAACCAAGTAAACGGTCATACCGAGTTGAATTGCTATTCTAACAACAGCTCTTATGGAAGCATTCATTCCTAATAAAAGAACATCTAATTATTCAACTATAATATATTTATTTATATAAGTGGTATACGTACATATTTCTGGAATAGTATACAAATGTTAAATTTTAAAACTGAATATATTAAAATATTTTATTCTGTATTACCGAGGGTAGTCATTTTTAAAATTTGTATAAGACACACATTTATAATGAAAATCAAGCTAAGAGTGTATTAGGGAGCGAGAGGGCGAAGGAGATCGTCCCCATCGCGCCTTCCTCCCTTGAATCTGTCTTTGCTATTATCTTAATATATTTTTTTTAAATTTTTATTAGATAAACGTCATACAGTTTTTTTAACAGGGTATAAAGTATAATATAATATATATGTTACCTTGTGAATCACCTCCGCTGGTTAAAACCGCCAATTTAGTATTTTCATTTTTCTCACGTGGGTATTTTTCTAAAATGGCTTTCAAATTGTAAACCATCTTGAAAAACTGTAGTAATGGACAAATACGATATTATTTACTTATTCTTTTCTTTTTTGTTCCTGATAGTATTCAATTATTGAAATGTTGTAATTTATTTATTTGGTAAAAAGGGTAACTATAAAATATTAATAAAAATGTTATTTAATTTTATTATCTAATAAATATAGGTGGCCACGATATTATTCCATAATAATTTTAATTTTTAAATTTTCGTTTCAAAAATACCAAAAACCCCTTGTCAGCTACTTTTTAAGCATTGAATTTCAAGATAACAATAGATAATGGTTTTCCTGTTATTTTGAATGCTAGGTGTGCAAAGTTTCATCAAGTTCGAAACACAATTGAAGTATATTTACGTAGCAGACAAAAAAATAATTTCGATTGTACTTATATTATATTATGATTTGTCTGCATTTATATAACCCCTAATGGTACAATAATTGCAATCGTTGATTTAATTTTAGTGCCTATACTCATGTATATTTGAATTTCGAAAAATAAACATTTTCAATTATTGAATGAATTTTTGAAAAAACTTTAATGAATTTGCATAAAAATGAACTATGTAATGTTAAGTTTATTATGCTACTGGAAACTTAACTATTCCTACGTTAAGTTAATTAACTAACGATAATAATAATAAAAGAAAATAAAATAAATAAAAACAACATTTTTCACTCATTAGTCAAGTTCCGAGTTTAACTTTATATAACTATATGTAATGCTTATATCGTTGTCGGAATACAATAAGAATAGGTTTTATAGTTAAAATCGGTAAGTAATACAGCCGACACTCACGAGACCATAAAAAATGTCTATTGAGAAGTGTCCGCCACTGGGAAAAATGTATGAAAATAAAAATGTAAGTTTTACTGATTTTAAAAAAAAAAACATTTTATTTAAATTAGTATGACACTAAAGGTAGATACGGAAGTTGGATATTTGTGTAATGTTAATTTTCGTCATTATCTATCGTTAGTTTAGGTTTGTATTTATTGATTGTACATAATCGTATCCATTAAATCATGAAGATAAATGTCTTAATCGGAAATACATAAATATAGCATATATGATGTGTACATAATATTATGTACAATAATACGAGTAGGTTTTTGTTTCTCGGTATAGCTGCCCGTTATTTAGAGGTATTAAAGCTCTCAGGACTACCTAATAAAATTGTCCGCATCCGTTTGTTAAGAGGTGTCCGCTATTCAGAGGAGCGCTACTCAATAATCCCTGCAACGGGGCTGTGCCGGGGCCGGAAAATTGTTTCGTTATTGAGAGGCGTCCGCTGATTAGAGGTGCCCGTTAATGGAGGTTTCACTGTGTTTGAAATAAAGACTGTCAGTCCTCGGACCCGCAGATGGATAAAAGCGCAGCGCTCCAATTCGACATTTTACGCGGGGGAAAAAAATACGTGTTAAAATACCACCCCGCAGTTATATTTCACTATTGCGACCGTTTTCTCTGTACACGTGTGCCTGCGTCGATTGTTGACTTGTCTTCTGTATTATGTATAGTGTATTATGCATGATATATAATACCTAATATTCTTCAATAGCGCCAGAAATTATATTGTATAGGTATTATTTCCCGGAAAGCCTGCATGCGGTATCATAAACCTAGTTCAAAGACCACCAAAGAAAAAAAAAATTGCAGACTTCGATTCTGCCGCCGCAGAGTTCGAGTTTTGTCTGAAAGTATTTGTGAACATTTATTTTATTTTGAATACCGGTGATATAATAATAATAATAAATATAATGTATCAAAATAAAAAAAAAATAATAATAATAAATAAATAAACAGACGCCCCCACGTATAAAAGAATCACGTTTGACTCTGTTCTCTCTCACATTTCCTGGACATTTCGTTACAAGTATGGCGATTTATTACATTATTATCAAGTATTATACTCGAGTTACCTACCTGTACAATGTGTTGACCCGTGCGGGACAATATCGTTATGGCGTCCGAATTTAGGTACTTTTCGTACACGGAATGTCCTTCCACAATGTTTTCTATAGATGTTGACCGTATTAATGTTTAAAAAAATTTGATTTTTTCTAAAAAATCGGATTTTATGTCAAGGGAGTATAGATTTAGAGAAAAATTAAATTTTTACAATCGCCGATTTTTAATAGATATTATTCGAAACATTTTATTCTTTCAAATACATACAATGCATGTATGTATGCACAGTGGTGTAGTCGTAAATATTGTTTTGGATATACACCTATATTCTGAAATAAATGATACGTGCAAGGGGGCTTTGCCTCTCCCCCACAGTGCCGTAGACAGGAATGTTTTACGGGAGGAGGGTTATCACATCAATACTTACACATTATAGTTATTAGCTTAAAAAATAACACATACGTAATAATACATTCATATACTTTCCATGTTGCAGGAAGGGAGGTTGAATCACTAACCCCTCTTCGTGTCTACGGCTCTGTCCCGCCGTACAACGATTAATTTAGATTTATCTATTATTGTATATTTATTCAAATAAATGTATCTAGATTTCAAAGATCCTTTTTATTAAACTAAATTTAATAAATTGTGTACGCTCGTATTACCATCAGTACCTAATTTATTAAACCATATTGATTGTGTAATAGGTTACTAGTAAAATATATACATAAGTATACTAAACGTTGTCGCACAAACATGTCCATATATACTTCTTACGACCTACGTAGTATTCAATGTTTATAGTTCATTAATGACTTCTGAATTCTGATGATAAATAGATAAGCCTTCCGAAAATCGTCAAGTTACGACGTTTCGGAGGTTTTAAGTTTTCCTATACCCTTAAAATTGTATAGTTACCGCCGAAGACGCGTAATATAATAACGGCGACACCCCAGTTCTCTCGGAGTGATGAGACCAACAATTTAAAAAATTAGAAATGTTCAAATTATATACATTATGGTTATCATCCAACGGGTTGCGATCGTATACCCGCGTATTTGTATTACTTTTTTTCCTATACGCATTTCAGAATTGCAGTGTTTTGGGTATACGCCGTATACCCGCGTATACCCGCCACTACACCATTGTGTATGTATACATGTATGCATGTATGTATGCCATTTGTATCCGATAGTCTTTTAGTAATAGACGTTTCAATCTCGAGGGTAGAGACGTAGAAAAGTTATATTCAATAGATTACTACGCGATAAGAAATCACAATCGTTAAAAAGGTAAAAAAATCTGTCAACTGATAAATAATTTTAAAAGGAAGCGGATTTCCATTTCATTCCGTATAGCTCTTAACTATTGCATAATATTCATTGTGTTAAACATTGAAAATGTCAGCATTTAAAGCAGTTGTTATTAGGACATTGTTGATTGGATATGAACGTGTGATGGTATGGTAGGTACATTAAAATATTTAGAATATTATTATCTATTGTGAAACGGCTATTTTTAAAATGTCGAAAAGTGAACGAATAAAGTTATTTTTCGTCAGCGACTCAAGGGGTGAAAATAAAAAATTTAATTTTTCTTTGCAGGCATGTTCCCCTACAGACATAACACCCGATTGAAAAAAAAAAAAAAAAAAACCAATAATATGTAATACAAAAGCGCAAATTCCAGCGTAGACGTCATTGACATCCGGAAAATATTGTAGGACACCGTTGTATACACAATATGTACATACTGCATTATTATTATTATGAATATTACACGGAAAATATTACGTAAAAACACTTTATCCATACAATATCGTGTAGTACGGCCGGCGAACTCGTGGGTGGCGATGATCTTCTGCAGTACACGCACACACGCACGGATAAACGTACATTACAATGTTAAATATAATATAATAAGCTCTTGTAAACAAGTGCTTGCGGTCCGCATATTCGCCAAACAAATAAATGATGTACCCAAAATCGAATAATAAATAACGAATAATAAACGCGTGCGTTTTATACAACCACTACGCTATGTCGGGCTCTCGGGTCACCCGCAATGCGAAACGCGTATTATACGGGTACGGTTATTGACTTGTCGCAATAAATCACCGTGTTTTAATAAACGTGCGTTTTTCGTCTCCGGACAACAGCTTTCGGCCTTTTTTTTTAATTCCGCCGGGCCGGATGCTAAAGAAAAGACGACGCTGCAGTTGTTATATTGATAGTATTGCGGGTATATTCAATAGGTGTACCTATTATAATAGGTGTCCACCCATATGATATTATTATAATACGCACGAACATTATTAGACTGCACGTGATGCGGGCCAGTGATATATTGCCGTGTTATAAACGCCGTTGCCGTCGCTATCCGAATACAAAAATACAAATCCCGGATTTCAGAAAAAAAAAATCACCGTAATCGTGTTTCGGGATTCGCCCGACAAAGGCCGCCGCGCGCACGTCCGTCAAACCCGGGCCCCGGGTTTCCTTATAATATAATATAATTGGTACCTGTTGTACCGCTATGTGCCGCATAAAAATATATGGTAGTACTGATATTACGGCGTAAAAAAAAAAAAAAAAAAGGAAAAAAAGCGCATTGTGTTATCGATCCGACCGTCGCGTAGTCATCGTCGCAAACGGAGAATACGCACGTTCGAATATTACAATAAATTTTACTTAAAATATACTTAAAGATTAGCCGGCGTATTTATACCTGCGTATTATATGCGACGCGGTTCGTCATTGTACCTAGGTATATTATGTAGGTGGTGCACATCTACACAAGTAACGCGATATCGGTATTATTGCTTTTTATATTTATTATTAGGTACCTATTTTTTTTTTCTTCCAAACGTCGTTCGGCGCCTATATTATTGTATACGGTCGTACGCCACCGCCTACGATGCCCGGCACTCGGATGAAATAATATAATATCGCACTCTCGTGGACCGAGACCGAAACGTAAAAACGTGAAGCGATCGTACACCTCGCATTTTAAACATTATTATATGTTTTTCGACAAACGTATGAAAAAAAAAAAAAATAGACGATTCGCACCATGAGTGCAGCCAC